TGCATTTTGGCATCTATCAATGCACACCATCTTTTTTCCAGAAATTACCCAACACTAAACAAAAATGAATCTTGTTTACATGCTGCAACCCGTTTAAAGAAGTTTCTTTACCAGCATGGCAGGATCCCGTAGGACCTTCAAGATATCTATGCCCCTTACATGCTAAAAGAATCATTTGCATATAGTACACAAACTGCGTTGGCTATCGAAACACTATGTACATAAATGCAACTTCTAAATACTGCATGAAAATAACTCCCTCTTTAAAACAAATGGGATAAATTTGAGCTTTCTCTGCAAACTTAAACTTTCATAAACTGCTGTGAAATTATAAGTAAACATAAGAAGGGCCTTCAAATAATATCAACACTTTAGTCAACATGCATGTATCAGGTACACCAAAAGTACCGGTACTCACAATTTAAGGCACCTTTCCATGCATGTACATCTGTACATGTATGTACGTTTTTTGGGTGCATTGCATATATGATGCATTCTTACTGCGTATATGATGCATTCTTGCATTTCACTTTCACGGAGCACAAAAATCGACTCCATTAACATAACCCACATGTGCATTGCGTTCGGCCGTCAAAATCGCCCCGAAAGCAATTTTAACGGATACGCAATGCTTGGCGCAAGTGTTAACACACATACGGAAAGGCGTCTTTACTTGTCTCAACGTGTAGCACACTTACAGAAATCTACGATCTCTTTACGTCATATCGTGCATTTTCTAGATTTAAGCTACCAGTACATGTATTTAGTGATGCTTCAGACACAACTTATCTGGAGCTCAAAACTTGTCTATAGATGTTGGCAACCTCTGTACTACTGCCATATTGCAGCTTCAGTACTTGGTGAATATACCATATATAGAATTAATTTTGGATTTCTTTTTTTTGGGGGGGGCCCTGCCCAATGTGTATTGTAACACTGCATACTCAGTGTATGGCCCTGAAGGCTTGTGAAAAACCACAAGTGTACTCGGGGTGGGACTCGAACCCACAAACCTCCTGCAATAGTATGCAGGAAGTCGTGGATTTGAATCCCATCTGAGTACACTTGAGGTTTTTCCCCAACCTTCAGGGGCATACACTGAGTATACAGTGTTACAGGTATAATACACGTCGGGGGTGGAAGGGGTGGAAATCCAAAAATAGTTCAATCTCCCCGGCGCGAATCCATCCTTTGAAACAGGTATTTAGAATTGTCAAGCAAATCTGCATGTACCAATCTACAATCAGATCCCATCCTGTTTGTTTACTTTTATAACTATGCCTTCCTAAAATACTCTTCTCCCACACTGTATGCAGTGTACGGAGTGGAAGTCAATTGTTCGGGTCAAGATTACTGAGGTTTTCATTATTTTATCTTACAACCCCTTTGTAACCCCTTTATACACATGTTAATCTAGTTTGCGAGCAGTAGCAGAATTATTCAGCTACCAAAGGTGACCTCTGGGCATCTTCACGCTGCACAACCAGCATGCCTGCTGAACACCAAAGTTCAAACTCCACTATTATTTAAAGTACTTTCACGATTTTTAGATCTTTCCGGGGCTGGTTTAGGTTTTAAAACCTTTTTTTGCCATTTGTGGTATGCACTCAAACTCAGTTCAAGTCCTGGACAAAATTTCAGTGGCCAATGCACTATTAGGAATCTATCTTACCATAAATGAACAGATTTTATGAAGTCTTAATTAATGCTGTTCAGGTTATAAACCAAAGACCAAGAGGGAGAGAGATGCCCTCCAAATCTTGTTATCAACTTCAGGTCTGGATTTGACTCTTTGAAAATAATGTTCTGAAGTTCCAAGCAATGCCCACATACATGTAAATGGCACAATTTAACGTAGCAGGCTTACACATGTACACGAAATAAAGAATAGACAACAGATGTACATGTATCCCAAGTGTGAACACCAGAGAAGAGGATTTTATGAAATACATGTACAGACAGTATTGTTTTATTGTTTTAAATCCTAGTGATCGGGTGTGTAGTGCCCTCTAGTGGTCATGCATAAGGGCAACTACAATACAGAATTATTGGTAAGTGCTTACCTGAAGCTCCCATAGACAATGAGCAAGATGGAAATGACGAACGTCGACACTCGTGATGAGTCCACCATTGAGTAAGCCCTGTTGCAGGCAAAAGGAACAAGCAAATTTCTTAAAAGTCATACAGCAACAGATGACTTTTAACGGAGTGATTACATGACCAGAAACACAAGCTATTACCAACATCCGAGGACCAAACATACGTGTAACTGTAAAAGGTATCTTTTGTGTACTGGATACAAGTACATCTCAAGAATTCTGTGTGGTTCTTCCAGGTTCTATCAGATCCCCAGTGATTCTTAAAGTTGGCTTCATTTTTTTATAAACTTTTTTTTTTCATTTTAAACATTCTGCTAAGACGAAGCATCCTACACTTTTATATGCCTGGACATCCAATATCTGCTGCTTTCATCAGCATGATCAAAGGTTGAGCTATAGATTACACACTCCCCTGAGAACGCTCAGCTGCAGAGACCAGAGCTTGAATAAGAAGAAAAATGAAGTGGCGTTCTGCAACTGGCAGACAAAGCCACTGGAGCCTAGGCTTTAATTGTATCCTGCTCTGTATTTTAAAAGTAAGATAATGGCATCCTATGAACAGGCTAAAACCTTATGGATAGCAGGACAGAGTTCAGACAAAAAAAATCCCTTTTTCACTAAATGTCATAAACCGCACCTGTTATCTAGTGTAATCCCAAGTTAGATTTCTCTTGCATATCTTTGACCTGTGATAAGATTTATGCTCTCAAAACACGCTTCCTAAAATACACGTACTGGTACGTCAACAACCATCTACATGTACATTGAACACACAATTAATCATTAACACTGGTCAGTTTTTAGGGGTCATTATGAAAGTTAGTAAAAATATAAACAAATCTAATTGAAAGTTTTCCCTAACTAATTTAACAGTCTTGCTCACAGCAGCATGGCAAGTGCGTGTACCGGTTACATGCAGGTGTCGTACCAAAATTACATGAATGTGACACATGACATTGAACTCAATCTTAAATTTGGTTTCTGTTTGAGGTTTTGCACAAAAGGAACACAAACCGAACCTTGCTTTATTTTTTACAATTCCCCAACTTGAGTACATGTACCCAGCTGCTGAATGTCCTGATCAGGAAATTCTGTCTTCAGTCAAAAAGAAAGTTCCACAAAAAGATAAATCCACAACTACACTGTACGTCGTACAAAAGGAGACTTCGTGAGGGTAAGCATGTCATGTATCTAAATGAACTTGGTACCGGTATGCTGCATACCGGCAGTGAAAGTTAGAGGCAAGAAAATTACTGGCAGGAAAATTACTTCCAGAATTTCCATGGCAACAGGAACTGGCAATTTTCCCCCCTGGACTGGAAATCCTGAGTTAAAAAAATTGTTGTATAATATCCTCTGTTCAGCTGCAACACACACACACACATGCACAATGTGTATTGTCGTAATACAAGATGACTCCAGTGATTTTGATGTCTGTAAATGTATAAATAGATTGTTTTGTAATGCCTATTTAATTCAGCCGTATGGCTGTGAAAAGGCGAAACGTAATAAACCATGGTAATAACAAAATCAGACTGTTTCATCTATGTTTGGCATCTCAACATACACATGCACATGTACAATCAAAGAATTACAAAAGATGTTCACTACATGTACAATGTACATTGTATTTCCATGTACTCTATTTGCAGTAAACATACATGTACAGTGTACTTGAGTATCTTTTAAATTTCTTCTGGAAAATAACTAGATCTTTCACTTTTTTGCTTTTGATGATTAGAGTGCAGATTTCTATGTAGGAAACACAGCTACGATAAACGATGTGTCATAACTGCAAACAGCTCAGTACTGAAAGGATAATGCACATGTACATCCCCTTCACAGAGTTCAGCTGTGTAGCAACTCCTTCAACACCGCAATGGATAATGAGTAACCTCAGCATGCAGTTCAAGATTTTTAATGGTCACACCATTACACTCGATGGGTAATTATCATGTACATGTATGCGCTGCGAGGGCTAAAAGTTCAATTTGTTTGGACTCACTTCAGAAATTATATGGTGTGAGATTCGTTCACCCAATTTAAATATGAAGTGTCAACCATAAACCAAAATATACAAGTACATGTGTGCTCTGAATGCAGAGACCTGAACTTCTCTCGGGATACATGTACAGGGCATAATTTTGATGTGGATTTTTGCATAGCAGTTATTGCTATGCAATATTTATATTGCATAGTATTTTGCTACACATGCATAGAATTTTTTGTGAAAGTTGCACCTGTGCTTAATTAAGAAATCTAATTTTGTTTCACGGCTGTTTACTCAACATCAAGCTTTAACACAGTAACTGATTAAAACAACCTGCGCAGAAGTATTTCAGGGTATGCACAAAATTAATGAGCTCGTCGCATGGATTTCCCAGCTAGTTTTGGGGTATTTATCACGATTCCCCGCACTGCGCACGTGGTCTTGAGTGCCGTACGCATACATGTATCTACCTTCGCTGATTTCCAGGCTAGTGTTAGCATAACATAATTCGCGTACAGGCAGTTTCCAAGCTAGCCAGGCCAAGGGTGGTGCCGGATTTACGTATTAATATGTGCTGTATGTCTCCTTCGGCCTGTGCGGCAGGAACCAGATACGTGTAGATATTACGTGTGCAGAATGACCACTGGCGGTACGGCTTAGGCGTATCCATACCTGTTTGGTGTTCCTAACATTTGCACCACGGAGGACAGCAGCTGTGGCCTTGTACTTAGTAAAATAGTAACTGTCGCTGTCAGCATCATTTTTCTCATTAAGAGAGGAAACTTTTACAAACTGAAACTGCATTGTTATTGGTACTTTCTGTTTCTGTCTTGCATTTCCAAGATCTGACGGGTTGATTTCAAGCAATTTATGTGTCACAATTTAACACGATCCAGTCAAGATCAAGAAAATGCATCGCAAGCGGTGAGTTAATGCATCGCAAACTGCCATGTGATACCAGAAAATTTATGCCCTGATGTATCTCATGGAGCGCAACTAACCACACACTAATTGGTCCAAACAGCATAGACTTGTATTTTTTTTTAAATCTAAGGCAGAATGTGTAGGACCAACTGTTACGGAAAGAGGCAGCGTTTGCTTTCTTGCGCCAGCTAATTTTCTTTATGTCACCTCATATGTGACCCACTCTGCGAAAAGGAGTCTTAAATCGCCAGGGCCACTTTGGAGTAAAAAGTCCTTTAGAATAATTTTGCACAATGTAAATCATTAGGAACCCACAGCATTTTTAACCATGGAGTATCCCCTTTCATCAGGATGCCAAACTGAGTGATACCGGTACATCAAAAGAAAAAGCTTTATTTTGATCTTTCAAATACAAACGAAAACTCAAAACGGGGCTCTGGCAACTTAAGACTCCTTTTCCCAAAGTGGGTCACACATGTTCTGTGCAGGAATGCTTTTGCAGTGCAATCAGAGCAAGGACACTCCTTTGGTGGAAACTTCTATACATGACGACAGGTTCACACGCTCTTGGCACTGGCTGCGCTGAGCCTCCGTAACAAATTTCTGGTGGAATGGACAGTCGCTGTGTCTATGCCGGGCGGCCAGATGAAATGATTCCCACCAAGCTGATCCTTCTTTTTGCAAGAGACAGGATGTTGCAAGTTGGGGTGAATACATGTACTTACATCCTAGACAACATTTTTTAATGATCAACGGAGTCCAGATGTAATAGCTAGTATGCATACCTCTTTGGTAAAGTGAAATGAGTTACACAGGCAATAATTTCAGTTGAACTTATGGAACAGAAGTACCGGGTACCTGATTATAGCTCTTCAGTTTCGATCCCATGAAGCTTAGTTTTTCAATGTGATCCATCAATGTGTTTTTACATTTTTATGTTGCCGACTGCTGGTCCAGTACCACTGCTTGTTCCATTACAAACTCTCTACAGCGGGGACAGTTTGGACATGTATTCAAGTGCTCAACAACTGTTCCCTTGCTTCATCATTTTTAAACTCAAAGAAACAACAGTAAAGAGGAGAAAATATCAAATGGGCAGCCAAATTTTTGAGAATAAATGGATCATGAACTAACCATTTCAATGAGGCCCCACCGAAGTAACATATCTTAATCACATTCATAACGTACATGTATATGGGTTATTCCACGAAGTTCGGGCACAGATTATGATGGCATCCCTTGTTACATCAGTGAAAATAAACATCTTTTTCCCTGCATGTGGATTCTAAATTGACATTGTTCTAAATCTTGCTAGGTTCTTGTAGTGGTGTGCTTCATCTTTGTTGAAGAATATGACTTAATCTGTTGTAATGTGAAAATAAAAGGCAATAAAAGTTACCGATATAACAAGGGACGCTGTCGCAAACTGTGCCCGAACTTCATGGAATGACCCATATGCACGTGTATGCTTGATCAAACACAATACATAATTATACATGTATATGTTAAAGTCGAGAGCTTTCTGCGTTGCGGAAAATCTGCAAAAATCGCGGATTTGGGGGTAGAAAGCGGAAAAGGCAATTCTCGGTTACAAAAATAAATAAATAAAACAAATAAATATTTTTGATCGTTTCTGCACAATTAATCAAATAAATATGAAGTGATATCCAGTGATATCTGATAATACAATCCTCTAGGCCAACCTGTAGTGCATAGCAAGCTTCTAATGGTTAAGTGTGATCTGCCCCAACAGAAAAGAATAAAAGAGAAGTCAAAAATCCTTTGGACCTGTTTTTTGTAAATTTTGCAAGCTATGGTAGTTACACTGATGCCTTGATTTGTTCTTTATTAATTTACTACTGTACATGTGGAATGTTCAGGTATTACGCACATGTATATGAAAACTAAGGTTATGGTGCAAAGGTCCTTAGCTCTTGCCCCAACAACTCACTGAATGTACTGCATAGGAAGTGTTGAGCTCATCCTCAAGATTAAATTATGACTTGGAAGGCAGAGTTGTGCTTCCTAAAGAGTGAGCCAGCACCATGAGGCAAGCGCACTCTGTGAGCTCAACAACATCAACAATGGCTGACCAGCCACAGCAGATATCATTGCCCGCGTACATCCTAACTGTTTGGCCAAAGTGGGAGCCATTGTTGCCAGAGTCACGCATGAGCGATCAATACACTAAATAAATCCTTGTGGTAGGCAGTGCACACACACACACACACACACACCACATGCCTGCCAAAATCCTTTGTTTGGGAGGATAACAATGAAAGGCTCCCGCAGTACATGTACCAGTATGCTTACATTGTGATCCATGCACAGATGTGATGACCCACTCTACGAAAATGACTCACACATCACCAGAGCCATCTGTGAGTTAAAGGTCTTTGAAAGAATGTTGCACAGTGTTTTTAAAAGCAATTGGAATCCTCAACATCATACCAAGCTCACTTCCACATCAAAATAAAGAGCTCAAATTCCTAATGTTATTTACAAAGTAAAACTCTGAAGTGGCTTCGCTGACTCTACGCTCCTTTTTGCACAGCTGGTCTGTGATCTGCAGCGGGGAAATGAATCGCAAGTTGGCAGAGCTGCTTCAGTAGCAGACTCTAAGGAAGCTTGCACCATTGAAATCAATGAGAATCGTTTTCATTTTTCACCCACACAATGTCCACTTCCATCAGGGTGCCTAGAGGATTGTATTATCAAAGCAAAGAGCTACGTACACGTAAGCTTGACTTTCTAATGCAAACTAAAAAACCCAGAAAATATGGCCTTGTTGCATTTTCACAGAATGGGTGAGTCAGGGTGGCAAGCTCAACTTTATGTGACCCATGTGCATCTCACTAAAAAAAGAGAGAGACTGAAATAAACTCACGTAATGTAATACATTTTTGTCACAAGGATAATTTCCATGCAACAGTAGTTAAATTTTAAAAAGGGAAAGAATTTCTCCATGTATTTTCATAATCACTTCATCTCCTGAACATTTACAATCGTATTTCCAGGCTGAGTCACGAAGCGGTACAGTTCTTTGTCCAAATTTGAAAGATGTTGTTCATATTCTTCTACACAGGAAAGAGACTTTTGTCTGCATAAAAAAATTATGTTGCAGTGCAAATAGATTATTTATGAGTTTCTGTTTTAAATTTTCCAAATTCATATCTCGAAAAATCTTTTTGAAAATTCATTTTGCTCAATAACTCAATGTGGATATTATCTGCACACAGGTGCTACTTCGTACATTGCTTCAGCATAAATTAAAACTTTTCTATAACTGGAATTCTAACAATACGGCACAAAAATTATATGCCATCCACCATTACTACATATAAGGTTTATGCAAGCTACTGTCAAACAGTACATGTTCAGGGTCATGCTACATGTAATTACCGTCAGCAAGCGTCAAGGTTCATCAACAAATAATTCAAGCATTTTTGTGCAAAAATTGATGAGACACCCCTTTATCATATTCAACGCATCACATTTACCTAAAATGACATTTGAGTGTGGAAATTTGGGCCACAAAGTCGGCCCTACTTGTGCAGCCCGACCGGCCACCATCTTGTTTTTGCATGGATGACAAATAAATGAAAATAGCCGCCCCACTGATTGCGGAAAACGTTCAATAATTTGCCATTTTCCTTACACAATGGCAGATATTAGAGCCCCTTTAAGTAATATTGTAAAACCACTTTTGAATCTTCATAGGGTATTTTCGCTTTATTATTGATGCTAATTGTGTTGACGCTTGTTGACGCTAAATAGCATGACCGCATGTTGATTCGGCAGTTTAGGGTGCCTATCATTGAGGTCTGTTGCAGAACCTTGACTGTTGAGAAAAAAGTTTCATCGCGATGTCGTGAAAATACCTTAAGTTTTTCGAACTTTTCCCTCATTTTCAAAGGGGGATTTGAACCTTTATGTACCATAAATAAGAAATGACACGTTAAAAAAGGGAATCTCCATTGTTCAAAAAGCTAAATAAGCTTGACTTTTGAGATAATGTTGCGAAAATATAAAAATAGGCTCCTACATGACATGCATGCGCATGATTGTACAGCGTAGGCCTGATTATGACACGCAGCGGCGCACAGCAATTCAAATGTCTAGAAGAGGGCTCTGAAAATGATTGTAAAACATAATTTATAACGCGTGGACGTTGTAAAATGAAATTTGGGTAAGTGGTTTGTATATTTGCATTTAAATTTTAGTAGGGCCTAGGCCTAATTGTGTATCGTTGTCATTGATAATAGAAAAATATATCGGTATGTAAATCATTTTATTACATGCACTTGCCTGAGTGAGCATCAATTGGGTTCATGTGAGGTGGCCATCTTGATTTTAATGGCCATTTTTAATGAAGGCCAAATCTATTCATCATTATAAGCTAATGTTAGAGCTTTCTGCCTTTTTTTAAGGGTACATGTACACTTTAAAATTTGGTAATCGTTTTGAAATGTGAAGGCCATGTTGAATTAAAATTGGGCATCATCTTGCATTTTGATGGCCATTTTAAACCTTGAGGGCCATTTTAAACCCTGAAGGGCATTTTTAACACTTTTTTTAAGTCTCATTTATTCATATTTTAGAGTGTCTTGCAATTTGTTAAGTTTCACTTCGGTTTGCCACTGTAAAATGAAACTTTACGATGGGGTGGCCATTTTGAATAATGGCGGCCATTTTTGTTTGTCTTGCAGCCATTTCTGAATGTGACGGCCATTTCAGTTGACATAAAATACATGTTCCATCAACTGCTGATGTTGTTTACAATCATTGGATGACCTTTAAATAACCATTCCTGGAGGGTTTTCCCGAGGGCCTATATCTTTATACACTACTAATACATAGTGCATTTATTAATGGTCATAATTATTAGCATTGAAATACCACATCCTGTACACAGACTGTTAAATGTTACAAATCATGTGATAAGTTCAGTTCCGATAACCCAACACACCTGCGAGACCCATCATTTTCTTTCAAATTTGGAGCCCATTCAGATGATATGAAAATAAAATGGCCCATGTATTGTTTAAAATTTCATGAACCTGCCTAATTTATCATTAAGTGACATTTTCTCACAATTTTCGATTTTAAATTTCCAAAAAATAGGGTCAACACAATGAACAGTGTTGCCTCCATTTTTTTTGGGGGGGGGGACTTACCAGTTTTGCAAGATTCAAATGTCAAAAACTGGGGGGTCCCCAAATATACAATCATTGTTGGTTACTCAATCCTGTAGGATTTAAATATCCAACATTACTTTCCATTTTTGACAATTTTACAGAGGCATATTTCAAAGAAAACGTAGGTAATCACCTAATGTTGTGCAAACAAAAAAAGGCACTCATGGCATCACAAACGACTGACTGCACAGCACCGACAAATGAACACACAGACCCTTCAGTCACTCGGCAGTAGGCCTCGTAGCAAAAAGTGAAAGAAAAAGAACGGCGACTGGACGAAATTAAACTCACCAATCATAGGACTCTGAAGCCATCTTGATGGCAGTATCAGTCCTCCTCTCAGAAAGGGGTATTCCTTATTTACATATGGCCTGTAAAATGTTGATCATAGCATCGTTCCGGTGCAGGTCAAACTTGTGTACACACACAGGACCCTAAGTTTTTTAACAGTGAAATGTCGGCCCAGTTTGCAGCGACGGTCACGAAAAATAGTACAACCCTGGGAAAACACTCGGCAGAAACTGCTTCAAATTCCACAATTCATGATGAAATGGTCGAGCAGGTACATGTTAAACAGTTTCCTAAACCCCAATGGGCATCCATCAGTCGAATTTGCAGCAACATTGAAGACCTTCGGTGTCGAGAACTGAGGTAAAAATTGTTGTTTTGCTATCCAAAAGCTAAACACATTTGTAAATTGTGCAGCGATTTGGTATATGGCCACTGACCTTGCATACAGTCGACAGCGCACTTCTAATGGCGCATAATCATACACTGGTCCCGAATAGATGAACATTGTGAATTCTTGACGTATGAAGGAAACCAGTGAATTCTGTGTTATTATTTCTAAGCTGGTACTCTGCTTCGCGTACAACCAGCAAGAGGGCCTTTGTTGAAAGCCAATCAATCAATATTAAAGGTAAATGAAAATGTTGAGAGAGGGCGCACTTCAGATTTTTATTTGCATCATTACCAATAATCAAGATGACAAAATGCACTGTTTACAGACGTACTTCGTCAAGAAACTGGAACCCTTTTCCGAAAGCAAAATAAATTTTCTTTAGGATGTTTAATGAAAGACTTTATGCCAAAGTTGATGAGCCATCTCAATCATCTTTTTCCAAATCTTGGCTCCGTAATCCGTCTTGTCTATGACATAATAATCTTGAGCCCCTACACTCGATTTCATATATTAACAATTATTGCAACCCTTTAAATTCTGGCCTCATCGGACAAGAAATTTGCTGGGGAAAATCGAGTTCCAAGTCTAAGCTTGGAGGACTTAACTAACCGTCCCTACCTGGTTCCGTGGGTTTTACCCATAATATTCCTCCGAGGTTTTCTTCCCACCTCTACAATTGTAACTACTTCTTGTTGTCTCTTCTCAACTTTTTTTCAGGCTTAAGAGTTACAATGCCTGGGATGTTTTTATGTCATTAGAAAAAAAATGTAATAGAAATTATTAGTAATAAAGAACGGCAATTTTTTCAGACCATCTCAAAGATGGAAGCCAGATTCCACCGCCCATCTGAGAACTCGGCTATCCTACGCCCGAGCTTTTTGGAAACTGGCATGTAGATCCCGGTGGGTATACCTGTGAAGTTTCAAGTCAATCTGACCATGGAGGAATAAGAACAGGGAGCAGTGTTTGAGCTCTCGAGGCCGGCCTTGGCCTCGAGGCCGGCTTTTCAAAGCCTTCGCCTGGGCCTCGCTACGCAATAACTCGTCTTGGCCTCAGCACCCTCTGGACAAGAAGAATCAGTCGAGGCCGGTTCGAGGCCGCCCGTTTTGAGTCAGTTTCTCAGCTTTCACTTTCCTTCCAATTCTTATTCTGACAGAGTACTTGCGATGTGCATGCGCTGTGGGCGTAGATTATTTTTGTGTAAACACGGGGTACGGAACCTAGACTCCCCAATGACGCGATGCAGCTAAATAGATTTTTTATCCCCAGGGAACATATTTAATTTGATTGATTGTTGCTTGAAAAGGATAGCTTTTCTGTTGCGTGAATTAGGCTCTACATGTATTGGAATTATTCCTAGTTCCTGATTTTCCCTAGTTCTGGATCGCTTGAAATAAAAGCCTACCTCTTTTGTGTTGTTCTTCAGTTCTACATTCCTATTTTGTACTACATTTTGTTCTCTGAAAATGTCTACAAAACAATTTTTGGCCGGATTTCCGATTCGCACTTCGACATTTCTGAACGGTTTGTCAAAACTCACGGGAGCCAAACAAATTACACATAGTGAACTATTACATAGTTCACTCGCTAAAAAGTGTGATTCCAAATACTATTGTCATATTCAACAGTCAATTATAATGACTTTTAGAGTTTCCATTTGTTTAAAATTGGCCAAAGCCTGAACGCAGTTTTCCACTATAGTATCGGATCGCGCATTATCTGCACGCAAACACGTTGTGAACACAACTACACAGACGTAACAGAAATGATGTGACGTAACGTGTTCGTCAACTGTGCGGTGCATGAAGGGCATAGCGTTCTCCACTGGACGGCAAAAGAAACTCGTCACTTCTGTCAAAGGCCACACATAAAAATTCACCCCATAAAAATTCACACACAAAAGGACTCTTCACCAAGCAAAAATGACCCACGAATGGACAACATTTTAAACAACCAATGACAAAGTGAACACCCGTTTTGTCAAAATGATGTGCATGAGTGGTTTCTGTATAGGGATGTTATCCTTACTGACTATGCATACACATTATTGAAAAGTAATGATTGTGGCTTCTTTATTTC